CATTTTTTTTTTTTTTTGAGACAAAGTCTCACTCTGTCACCCTGGGGAGAGTGCTGTGGCATCATAGTTCACAGCAACCTCAAACTCCTGGGCTCAAGAGATCCTCCTCCTTCAGCCTCCTAAGTAATACCACCACACCTGGCTAATTTTTCTATTTTTATTAGACACAAAGTCTTGATCTTTCTCAGACTGGTCTTGAACTCCTGGCCTCAAGCAATCCACCCTCCTCAGCCTCCCAGAGTGCTAGAGTTACAGGCGTGAGCTATTAAACCCCACACACTATATTCATATTCAAATTTTGGGAGTTTCAGAGGAAGAAGAAATGGGCAAAAGCACAGAATGCATATTTAGTGAAATAGTAGCTGAAAACTTCCTTAGTCTTAAAAGCAATATAGACAGCCAGATATAGGAAGTTCAGAGAACCCCAAGTGATACAACCAAAAAAATCTTCTCCAAAGCACGGTATAGGCAAACTGACAAGAGTCAAGGACAAAGCTAGGCAAACTGACAAGAGTCAAGGACAAAGCGAGAATTCTAAAAACAGCAGAAAAGCATCAAGGCACATACATGGACTCTCTATCAGACTAACAGTGGATTTCTCAGCAGAAACCTTACAAACCAGGAGGAATAAGATGATTTATTTAAAGTGCTGAAAGAAAGAAAACAAACTAACAGCTCAGAATACTACACTCAGTAAAGCTAGCAAAATCAAAGAGAAATAAAGCCTTCCCCAAACAAACAAAAACCGAAGGAATTCATCACTACTCGACAAATCCTACAAGAAATGCTTAAGGGAGTCCTACATGTAGAAGTGAAAAAACAATATCTACCATCATGAAAATACACAAAAGTATAAAACTCACTGGTCAAGCCGATACAAAAATAAGAAAGAACACAATTACAACAGGGACCTACCTAACAAATGCAAAGATTGTAACCTAATCATCTGTACCCTCATATTAATCTGAAAAAAAAATTAAACTTAGTAAAAAATAAGAATTCTAGTCAATACCTGAAATTCTATATGTAAAACACACCAAAGAATAAGATGTTTTAATAAGAGAAATTATTTTAAAAATGTAAAATGTATTCTTACTAGAAATAGATGTATATGTAATTTTGTTGAATTCAGAGGTTTATTTAATGGTTGATTCAAAATATGAGTTTGAGAAGAGAAGGAAAAAAGATAGAAAGTGAGTAATAAGAGAGAAATATGGAAAGGCTATGAACATAGAAATATATTTTGGGGGGACTTCTGGGAGGATGGCTGACTAGTAGCAACCCTCAGCAGAGGCTCCTGAGCAGAGGAAGGAAAACTAGATGGAATTGGACTCTATGAAGCCAAAGGTGGGGAGCTGAGCCAAGAAAGAAGTTCAGCAAGCTGTAACTCCAAGGAAGAGCATTCAGGAAAACAAATTACAGGTATAAGGCCTATTGACTAGAGGATGGGAGACCCCTTCCCCAAGCAGGGGGCCTGCTGCAGGCTATCTGTGAAGGAGCAGGGAACAAAAGACATGCTGGAGGGAGCCGCTAAACTCCAGGTCTCTTTCTCCAGGGAGGACCCACTTATGAACCTAGACACCACCCCACCAGGCATAAAATTTGAACAGATATTTTCCCCCACAGGTCCAAACTCCCAGTCTATCCTTTCCCCCCGTGCATGGCAGTCTGAAGTTCTGTCCCCTGCGGAGCACAGAGTATTTGGTCTTGTCCTGAGAGAACTGGGCATAGTGTGGATTGCCAACCATCAGGACGGAATCTGTGACTAATGGGGAAGAAAGAGGGTGTGGGAAGAAAGGAACACTCAGCGGGAGGAGGAGCAGTCCCCTGGTCTTGACTATGCCTGGCCAGTGGTAGTGCTGACTCTCGATTCAGGCTGTGCATGGCGAGACAGGGTACAGAACCCCTGGCTCTGACAGCACCCACAGCAGGAGAGTGGTTGCCCTGAGTGTACTGAGTTCGGCAGACAGGGCTGGTCCCCAGGCCCTGCTGGGCCTGCGAGCAGAGGCTGGATAGGCATGGACTGCTACCTGAGAGCAAGGGTGTAGTCCCCTGATTCCAACAGAACCCTCAAAGAGTGGCTTACTGGATGCGAACCAAGACCTAAGAGCTAAGGTGCAATCCACTGTCTCCAGTGGAGGCTGGTGAGCACAGGCTTACCAGATGATGACGGACACCTGTGGGTGGAGTGTGGTGCCCTGACTCTACAGAGCCTGTGAGCAGAGGCTTGCCAGGCAGTGGACTGAGACTGGCAGGTGGGGCAGCGTCCCCTGACTCCAACTGGTCTGGCAAGCAGAGGCTAGCTGTGGGTGGACTGAGACCAGAGGGTGGGGCCTGGTTGACTCCAACAGAACCCGTGAACAGAGGCTTGCCAGGCAGTGGAATGAGACTTGCAGGTGGGGGCGTGGTCCCCTGACTCCAACTGGTCTGGCAAGCAGAGCCTAGCTGAGTGGACTGAGACCAGGGGGTGGGGGCATGGATCCCTGGCTCCAATTGTACTGTTGGAGACCCTGAATCCCTCTCTGTTGGGGAGGGTTTGCACTGCCTGAGACAATTTGGTTGAAACCCATGTCTAGGGCTGTCTACTGGGGACATTCTAAGGTTGACCTTTGTAGTTCTATACCGGCAAAGAACTGAAGGGTGGGGGCTGGGCACCACAACTGTTTGTATCTCTTCACAGTTGATATTTAAACCTAATACTGTGGTTTTTTAGGATAGGGTAGAGGTTGGCTGATATCAAAACAGAGATAGCTTGCACTATCTCACCAAGTAGGTCCTCAGAATCTCTGGCTAAGACTCTGGAAGGGGCCTTTGTAAGGTTGTAGGAGATAAGCCACAATTATAAAGCCTAGCACTTTAGTAAGGGGCTATCTCTACTACCTGGGAGCCCCAATTCAATCTCTCCCTACCAGTTCTAATAACCAAGCAGTGGAAAATAAACCTGGTGCGGACCCAACATAA